CCTTTAAGACTTCCTTCTTGAAGATCGTCCAGCCTTCCTGGACCCCTTTGCCCTTCAGGACTGTCTCCCAAGGGACTCTCTCAACCAGCATCCTGAACAGGCCAAAGTCTGCCCTCCAGAAGTCCATGGTTGCGGTTTCGCTGCCCCCCCTCCTTACTTCACCAAGAAGTAAGGCATCATCCTTGCCTATCTTCTCTGAGCCTTCTTCCATCATAGGGGTTCGTTGATTGGTCACACCCTTTCCCTCATACAGCAGCCATGCCATCAAGGCACAGAGGAAAGACAGTGAATGATCAACCTCAGGGCTTACAGCACCCCTCAGGGCCTCCTTCCTTTCCTTTTCCCTTCTTGTCACTTCATGCAGATAGTGAAGACTCTCTAGAGCCTGTAGGAAGCAGACCTAGGTAGCAATAAACCCAGCAAGTTAAGCATGGAACTTACAATTAGTTTGATTAGTGACAGTCAAAATGCAGAAGCAGCCTAGTGGAAGGGAGAATTGTGCCATGGCATTAGCAATTTGTGTTACTAGCACTCCAAGACTGGCATATAACTTTTTGTAGAGGCCAAAGTTAATGATTTACATAAAGTAGCTAACCCAGTTTTAGAAACAGGTGGTAAAGTTTAGTACTGTTCATTAGATTTACACTTTTTCAAGCTGAATAGACTCTGTTTGTTGATTTTGGTAGGGCTGAACCTATTTTGTCTCGACTAAAAGAAGATCGCACTGTTATAATATCACCGGTATTTGACAATATTAATTTTGATGACTTGGAGCTTCTTCAGTATTCAGTGGCTGCAGATGGATTTGACTGGGCACTCTGGTGCCTTTATGAACCTTTACCAGCTGAATGGTATGCTCTGAAAGATGAAACAGCTCCAGTCCAGTAAGTATGAATAGCATTTGAGAGTGAACCAAGATACATGATACCAACATAGAGCTAGCAGAGGGAAGAAGATGTTTCATAGGTGGTGGGAGAGATATCTACGAAGCACATTATATCTAGATAGTTGGTTTGGAAGTGTGGGCTCTTTAGCAGCCCTGAAAATCTCAGTACGCCAGTTGCAGGGTTGTATTACAGAATCTGCCCTGTGCTGATCCTGCTGTCAGATTTTCAGGCGATCCCCGAGTCATTGATTTTTCTGTCTTGTGTTCCTTAGCTAGGAGTGTGGTAGCAATATTTATTGACTGTACAACGTGAATTGTGGCCCCTCTCCATGCTTGCCCAACAATATGGAGTGAATCTCACAATTTTGCTGGACAATCGCATGTCTGAGCTGTGAGGACTCACATGGATTCAAGTTGTGCAGTTCTTTCTTCGGAGATGTTGGAGTGACATATGATTACAGTAATCTCGAGCAGCCTTTTTCAACCCTTATCAATCACTTGTGTTTCACACAAAAGCGAGAAAAAGACATGAACACAATACACACAAATGTTATACCTAAAGTGACCCCTTACTGCTAGACTTAGGATCCAATATATTTGCTTCTGTTCCTGATGCCTTCTTTAACTGCTCAGATTAGTTTATGTATTCAACACAAGATGGTTGCTGGTACTATGATACCAGCAGCCATCTCATGCTGAATATATAAACCCATTTGTTTCCTTGTTCTACAAGTATGTCAGATGTTGTTGCCTGTCCCTTAGCAATATATAACTATCTATCAAACAAAAAAAAACTAACAAGAGATAAGATACAGTAATCAGATTTTTCTAGTCCTATCTGATTTTATTGGGTTTACATGGCAAGGTTTTGGTAGTGGGGGAGGCTGCAGGGATGGCTTCTGTGAGAAGAGGTGAGGGGCTGCCCCCATGTTGGACGCAGCCAGTTCCAGCTGGCTCCAAAATGGACATGGTGCTGGCTAAAGCTGAGCCAATCAGCAACGCTGGTGGGTGCCTCTGCAATAATCTCTTTAAGATAGGGTAAAAAATGCTGCGCAGCAGCTGTGAGTGAGAGGAATGAGGAAGAAATCTAAGAGAAACAGCCCTACAGACACTGAGGTCAGTGAAGAAGGAGGTGGAGGAGGTGCTCCAGGCACCGGAGCAGAGATTCCCCTGCAGCCCATGGAGAAGACCATGGTGAAGCAGGTTGCCCCCCTGCAGTGTGTGGAGGACCATGCTGGCCAGATATCCACACAGCAGCCTGTGGAGGACCACGCTGGAGCAGATATCCACGTGGCAGCCCATGGAAGACCATGCTGGAGCAGATATCCACATGACAGCCCAGGGAGGACCTCACACCAGAGGAGGTGGATATGCCCTGAAGGAAGATACAACCTGTGGAGAGCCCACGCTGGAGCAGGCTCCTGGCAGGAGCCGTAGCTCGTGGAGAAATGCTCAGGCAGGAGCATGTTTTCTGGCAAGAACTGCAGCCTGTGTGGGACCCACGCTTGAGCAGTCTTCTTCTGAAGAACTGTACCCCGTGGAAAAGGACCCATTCTGGAGCAGTTCTTGAAGAACTGTAGCCCATGGGAAGAACCCATGTTGGAGCAGATCATGAAGGACTGTATCCCATGGGAGGACCCCACGCTGGAGCAGGGGAAAAGTGTGAGGAAGAAAGAGTGGCAGAGATGAAGTGTTATGAACTGACTAGAACCCCCATTTTCCATCCCCGTGCCCTGCTCAGGGTAGAGGGAGGAGGTAGAAGAGTCAGGAGCGAAGTTGAACCTGGAAAGAAGGGGGGGGGATGGAGGGAAGGTGGTTTAGTTTTGGTTTTGTCTCTCTCACTATCCTCCTTTATTTTAAATTGGCAATAAATTAAATTAGTTTTCCCCAAGTTGAGTCTATTTTGCTGGTGATGGTAACTGGTGAATGACCTCCCTGTCCTTATCTCGACGCATGAGCTTTTTCATCTTCCTCTGTGTTGCTCAGAAGGGGGAATGAGAGAGCAGCTTCATGGGCACCTGGTGGCAGCCAGCCAAGGTTAATCCACTATAGTTATTTATATAAAGGGCTTTAAAATTTACTATGTAGACCTTGAGGAGGAAAGGCACCATGAAAATATTTGAAAATAATGTTCTGTGTTTGTCAGATGAGATGGCAGATTTCTTCATTCATATACTACTACAGCTGGTAGCCAAGCTTTGGAGATAAGGCTGCACAGATACCTAGGTAAGGAACTATGGGTGAAACTGGCATCTGTATGTATTAAAAACATTATACAGTGAGCATTAACAGTTCAAGCAGGAGAATGGAATGAAAGCAAGCCAAATGTAGCTTAAAGAATATTTCAGGGGGGGTGTCCACAATTCTTAGACCAGAGAAAATAGAAGCGGGTTTGATTGTAGAGAATGGGGATATCAAAAGAGCACCTGTTGTCGTTTAACCCCAGCCAGCAACTAAGCACCACACAGCTGCTCGCTCACTCCCCCCCGGTGGAAAGGGGGAGAGAATAGGAAGGGTAAAAGTGAGAAAACTCATGGGCTGAGATAAAGACAGTTTAATAGGTAAAGCAGAAGCCATGCACGCAAGCAAAGCAAAACAAGGAATTCATTCACTGCTTCCCATCGGCAGGCAGGTGTTCAGCCATCCCCAGGAAAGCAGGGCTCCATCACGTGTAACGGTTATTTGGGAAGACAAACGCCATCACTCCGAATGTCCCCCCCTTCCTTCTTCTTCCCCCAGCTTTATGTGCTGAGCATGATGTCATATGGCATGGAATATCCCTTTGGTCAATTTGGGTCAGCTCTCCTGGCTGTGTCCCCTCCCAGCTTCTTGTGCACCCCCAGCCTACTTGCTGGTGGGGTGGGGTGAGAAGCAGAAAAGGCCTTGACTCTGTGACGCAAACATCCCTGTGTTATCAACACTGTTTTCGGCACAAATCAAAAAAATAGCCCCATACGAGCTACTATGAAGAAAATTAACTCTACCCCAGCCAAAACCAGCACAGCACCAAATCCTCTTTCAGTCCCCTTTCCCCCGCCTCTAGGATGGATTCATCTACAGTGGAATTGGTCCTGCCAGGCAATCATCTCATCTCTCTTTCAAAACCTCAACTGAGAGTGATTCCACAGTCCCCCTTGGCAACAGGCTTTAGTGTTTAAGTTTCCTTAATGTTAGGTAATATTTCATAATGTCCAACCTAATTCTTCCTTGCTGCAGTTTAATCTGATTTCTTTCTTCTGGTTTTAAATCTGTGAAAATTGTTGTTACATCTCCTCTCAAAATAGATCTAATTCTTTAAAAAATACTAGAACATACTTTTTAGACCATTGATCAAGTTTATTTGCTGTATTCTGGATTCTTTAATGTTGATCCACATGTTGTTCTGAATTAAATCTGTTACTCTCTCTTGAATATAACTGGAAGTTCAAGAGGTGATTGATGGCTAATTGACTTGACTTTATTTCCATCGTTGTTGCTTCTTTCTAATTTTGCTTGGTTGGTTCTCCAGGAGCCCATCTATAATGGGGATTCTTGCTGCAGATAGGAAATTTCTGGGTGAGATTGGTGTACTGGACAGTGGAATGCACATATATGGAGGAGAAAATGTGGAACTTGGCCTGAGGGTAAGCCTATTTTTTCATATTTTTCTGAAAGACAGTGAAAATTAGTATGTGATTTTTTTGAAAGCACTCAGGCCACTGGTTGTTGTCCAAAACATGGGTTAATATTTCAGAACAATTCTGTTTTATTTGGGGTACCAAAGGGAAGTGATAGATTTCAAAAAGTGTTTAAGGCTTATCAGCAGGCTTTTGTTGATATTTCTTAAGGATTTTGACTCCTGACACAAAATCCTAGTTCAGTGAGGAAATACTGAATCTCGCAAGATGTGGTTCTCTGCACAAATTTAAGGTATACGTCTCTTGGCTTGGCAGAAGAATAAGATAAGATCAAGTTAAATGAAGTTATGTATTAGGAAAAAAAAACCCAAAACAAAACCAGAAACAGGGCTGTCTGCCCTAGAAAGTAATGTCTTCTTCAACTTTGGATGTCAAAGAATCAAGAATGGAGGCTTTTTTTTTTGCCAGAATAGTTTTATCTGGAGTGTCCTCAGTTATTAGGGAACATGTGAAAGCACTAAAAATTCTATTGATGAGTATTTTTTAAAAGTAATGGTAGTTGGAGATATTCGAGAAGACCTGAGAAGAAAAAAAATGAACACAGTGCTTATCTCTATAAAGAAGAGAAAGGATGGTAGGACATGAGAATTATAAACCTGTTAGCAAGACTTAAATGTCTAGGAAAAAAGGGTTTGATTATTCTCTTTCTCTGTAAATATGAAAACTAGGGGACTTTGAAAGAAGTTAGTAACACGTTTCAAAATAAACATGAGGAGGAGGTACTGCATTCTTCCAGTAGCAGACCAGACCAAGAGACCAGGAGCAGAGCTCCTTCCAAAGAGTACTGTGGGTCTTAAAAACTTGCAGCCATTCATGGGGAGACTGAACAGTTATGGAAGAAAACCTACTCAGAGTTAATAAACAAAAGTGAATCATGGGAATATGCAGAAAGTCCCCTGACCTGAAAATAATTGGGGGCTGTGAGAGGTAACATATGTACTTGTGTTGTTCTTAATCTTCCCCAGGAATAAGTTTGCAGTCACTGCGGGATACAGAATATTAGGCTAGATGGACTGTTGGTCCAGCATGGGCATTTTCTCATGTTCTTACAACTTTTTCTTTTTTGTTCTGGTATCTATTAGTAACCACATAAAAGATAATACAGACAATATACATTTGCCTGAACAAATCATGTCAAACAGGTCTAGTTTTTTTTTTTTCTATAACAGGGTAGCATGCTTTGTGCAAAGAAGAAAAACAGCAGTAGTTAGGAGAAACATGAGGAAGGAGAAACAGCTACAGAGGTGCAGGTTGGGGAACATCCAGCTAGAAAAGAACTGGGAGTAACAGACTTTGTATAGATCAACATGGCCATGCATCTGGATGGGAAAGGATGGCATTGATGATCCTTCTCTTCTACTGCTAAGTTCTTTTCTGGAGTTGTGTTTTGAGTTCTGGGACCGTACATGAGGAAAGATGTGGAGCAATTGAAGACTCTGAAGGAAAGGAAAGAGAACAAAGAGAGTTCCTGCAATGTGTGACATTATAGCAGAGATAGGCCTAAATGAGTTTTTTTGATTTGTAGGAGAGACCATCAAGAGGAAATATAGCAACAGTCTTCCAAACATGCTAAATCCTATGTTAAACAAAGCCCCTGTGTGTGAGGCACCACACTGAGTCATGTGGATGTACTAACTTGGGTTGATACTATATTGGAGGTGTCAACTCATTTCTCCATTACTCGTGGTGGACATGGCCAAAGACCCCATGCTTCAGATTCTGTCTGTGAGATTGAAATGTCACATGTCATCACCTCACGTCATATGAGGCAGGTTGTGTATTAATTTCAGTGAATTAATATTTCAGTTCTGTTGCTTGAAAATACATTTACACTTTATTCTTTATTGCCCTGCACCATTCACAGTGGAGGCAATGTATGCCTGTAGTCATTTACACAAATGCTGGAGGTGAAAACAATGGAGAATCAGTTCAGTTAAGACACAAAGCTGGTCTGAAAACCGACTGTAAAAATAGTATTAAAGATCTCTGTTTATTTGCACGCTGAGAGTTTCTTGTGTCAAATATGCTTGGTTAGCAAGCAAGCAGTCTCTTACGTTTTTCCTTAGCCAGCTGCCAGCCCTGGAAAATTTAATGTGAAGATGTGAAGGAAGTCTATAGCACACAGTGGAGCATTGTGTGGTGATACCTAAACTAGCACAATAAATCTGCATTGTGCAGTGCCAGCTTGAGTTCCGTTCTGCATAGCTGCTTGCCTTTTGAAAAGCTTCCACACTTATATTGGTTTACGTGTAGTCAGGATGGGTGTGTTTGTCCTGGACCTTCGGTACTTTTGAAGCATTGGTTGTGGCCTGCTTAGGTATCTCTCTGAATTCCATGTAGATATTTTCCAGGAATCCACTGGATTTTTTTTTTTTCTCTTGAATTCTCCCTAGTGTGTAGGATTTTGCAGGACCAGTTTTGCTCTTGGCATGTCCTGGGCAATGTCACTGCTTCTGAATGATTCAGGCCCATAACCACCACAGTATTTAGCCGTCCAGCTCCTAGGGAGATCAGTTGGAGGTATGTACCAGTTTGTCTTAGAGCATCTATGCCAATTGATCTGAGTGCCTTGTCACAGGAAACTGGTGAGTAGTTTTGTTAATGGTGATGGCAAAGAAAAAGAAGAAAGAACATGCCTTTACTCTCCTGAATCTGTGATAGGGCTACACACAGTAGAAATGAAAGGTATTGAAAAATTCCTTTCATTCACTCAAGCCAGGAAATAGAGCTTTGAATGTTGAGGGCCTGCCAGTTCATCTGGTGAAGGAGTGGGGGGGAGCAGAAATGGGAGCACTTTAACAAAAAGTGCAGAGTTTGAATAAATAGGCAACTTCACCTCAAATTCTTTCTTCTTGACCTAGGCCTGGCAGTGTGGAGGTAAAGTAGAAGTGCTGCCCTGTTCAAGAATTGCTCATTTGGAAAGAGCTCACAAGCCTTACTTGCCAGACTTGAGCATCATGGTGAAACGCAACGCCTTGCGGGTAGCTGAAGTGTGGATGGATGAATACAAGTACATGGTCTACTTTGCATGGAATCTTCCAATTGAGGTGGCAGTGTTTCTCAGTGTTTCAAATTGGAATCCAAAGTCTAAAAGTGGTCAAATAAGAGCATGTGGTCACACAAAAAGAGGCATAGTGTGGTTATAAGAATCACTGAAAATATTTTTTTTTGAAAAAAAATTATTAATATTGATATGTTAATAATTATTGATATGGATGGCATCCAAGAGCCATGATCATAGACATGTTTCTCTTAGGCTTAGACCAAGAGCTGATGCCTAGCTTAAAGAACATAAAATGAAATTGTTTAACATGTATTTTAACTTTTTTAGGGAAAGTAGGGCATATTTTACCTGGAATATTCATAGTTTTGCATGAAAGAGTATGTGTCTAGTGATCTGGGTGTCCCTGAGTATCTTTTAAATGAGCAAAATTGAACTTTAAATAGAGAATTCAATTACTCTTCATCACATACCCAACAACTTTTTTTAAGTGAGCTCTCCTCTCTGTAGCCCAAAGTTCTGCTTTTGTTTTCCTGGAAGAAAAAGGGGAAAGACTTATAGCACCCTTGGAAGGATGAAAAATGGTAATACCAGGAAATTAAGAACTCTGATAATAATAATAATCTGTCCTTTAAATTACAGGGTTTTTTTTCCTTTTGATTAACTTCAGGACTTCTAAATATGGTTTTAACTTTTCTCCAGCACAAACTGTTGAAGATACTGGAAGTGTCAAGACCAGGTCTTTTGAGTATTGATAATTTCAGTTAATAAAAAAAAACCTGTATGAGTTTTCCCAGCCTGCACTTCAGTGGATTTATGAATCTTTAACAAAGAAAGAATAGCCTCCCACCTCCTTGTGTTTTCTTGAATAGATATTAAGGAAACAAATTAAAATATATAGTGATATAACATGAATTAAAACTTCAGAAGAATCCACTTTCCTTCCCCATTAATTAACTTTTACTGTATATATTTGGAACTTTTCATCTGAAAATGCTACTCATCAAAAGCTAATCCATTGGTAGGAATGCAAGTATCAGTTTTAGCACTGAACAGAACTTGCATAAAACTTCTTCACCTTTAATGACCCCTTTTCTCTGGGATATACAAGTCTATTTGAAATTCCTAACCTAACTTATTCAGGTCACAGACTGCATTTTACAGAACTGCTTAAAGAGAGGGTGTAAGCTCCTGTTGGACTGATTTCTGTCAAACTTTCCTGCTGGAGCCGTTCCACTTTGCATAAGAAGTTACATAGTCTTGGAAACAATAGTTTGAATCTTGATTGCTCCCGTATGAGATGAGTGTCACAGTCAACAGATTATTGATCAAGCTAAGGTTGTTAACAAGTTCTCTCCTATTTTTCACTTTGAGCTAGATTTTGTTTGTCAGTATGAAAACTACTTCCTAGCCATATCTAACTTTGATATTCTTTATATTTATGAAGTCATAACATAAAGTTAGTTTTTCAGTAATTTATTGGTGCCTCTAGGCAAACATGTTCTGAAATTCTGAAGTTTAAAAAATACAGAGGGGGTTTTTTTAATGAACTTTTAAAGGTATTTTTTATGTTATGAATAGACAATATGGAGAAATAAGTCTGTATTTTCCCTAGTTTCTCAGACCACCTTAATGTTCTGAAATATGTTGTTCTTGCAGAATCCTGGAATAGACTTTGGAGATGTTTCTTCCAGAAAAGAGCTAAGGAAAAAACTGAACTGTAAAGGCTTTGACTGGTACATAAAAAACATTTACCCCAATTTAATAGTTCTTCCCAACATTGTTGGCTATGGAACAGTAAGTATTGAGTCTGTTTATTTGAAATATGGAACAACTAATTAGCTCTACTGTTATGAAGGACTGTTGTGAACACTGTTTTGCTGATTATGATATGTTTTCCTAGAAACTTTAAAAAGACTTTTACATGTCTTTCTAGACACTGAAGCTTTCTAAAGGCTTTTTCATACTAGTCATCAATCTAGAATTTCTAAACTGTGGTTATTGTGTATGTACTGATGGCAGCACAACAGTAGTTTGGGAAAGTGCTTAACAAGCATTTTTTTACTGCATGCAAAACTCATCTATTGACCAACAAGAATGGATCAATGTCTTCTTGTAAGGGCCTGAATTTTTCAATGGAATATATGGATTTTTTCTGCAGAGATTAGCAGGATAATTTGGAAAGCATGCAGACATGAATCAAGATAGCATGTAATACATTGGAAGTCAGGCCACTGTTTGCGAAAGAGAAAACTAATCATCCAGGCTGCAGTGGCTTCTTAATATAGGTAGGCATTTTCTAGACCCAAGCTTGCATAGCTTGCTGGAACTGGGCAGTGATACTCACCTGTTTGGAGTTGACTGGTGACTTCTTACATGGTGCTACATGGCACGATGTTGATGAGTCTTTGAAGGACCTTAGATTTGCTTTTGATTTTTGCTGTGATGAATCATTTGTACAAAGGTAATCTGAGATTTCTTTTCTAAACCCATTTTGTATCTTCCACTTCAGGATTCGATGCAGAGCTCTGAGTAAACTAGCCTTGCTCTCAGGACAGTTTCTAAAATTAGCGGCGAGGAGTTGAAAACAGGATTGCTGCTCCTCACAGTAAATTTCCTGTTTTATTCTGCAGATGAAAAACACATTGAAAGAAGACTTCTGTATTGATCAAGGCCCTGTCCCTGGAAACACACCAATTATGTATCCCTGTCATGCATACTCACCACAGGTAACGCAAGCAACTGATCAGATCTTCACATATGAGCTGTTGCTAACTGTTCCTTTCAAGCCTCCACAGGGCCATGAAATAGGCGCTTCAAAACTATTATCTCTGTGCTATCTAACGGGGAATATTAACCTTTATTTCATTCAATTCTGCTCCCCAATGCAACTGGCAGCAGAGCAGGTTCCCGTGGAGGTCTAAGTGCATTAAACCAAGGCTTTTGGTTTAGCCTTGCCAAAAAATTGTGAGACCCTAAGTTGATACTGATTGACCTTGTTGATTAATAGATCAGTGGGATGAATGGGAGAGAGGTGGAGCTCTTCCTCATACCTCACTGCCTGTCCTCTCAGTAGGAGGGAAACTAAGGGTTACCATTCAATTGTAAGCATCCTGCTTTTTTTCACTGGAAAGCAGAAAGGTGTTGTATAGGGTTAAATTCATCCTGGTTTAATTACTGAGAGATCAGTGAATGCTGGTGCTATACAGCTGATACCTCTCAGTATCAGTTTTGGAACTGTCTGCTATCATTTGCTGATGAGATTTCCCTGGTATCTTAGTTCACTGACAGTGGTGTCACCTTCCCTTTCAGCACATCTTTTATCACAGCACTGGAGAAATGTATGTAGGAGGTTTACATGCCCGACGGAATACAGTTGATAGATGCCTAACAGACCCTGGGGATGGGGACCTGCCAGTTTTAGAGCAATGTGACACAGCTGTGAATAAAGGCCTGAATTTGCACTGGGATTTTAAGCAGGTAGGTGGATTTCTATATCCCCATATTTCAATAATAATAATTTCCCATTATAATGAATCCTTAGACACTTTCCTTGCAAAGCAGTTTGCTTCTGAATAACGTTGCCTCAATTTCAAGACTTGCAGGTGCCGCTGCAAGAGCTACGGTGAAGCTGATTGAGTCTTCAGGGGTGTGTGATGTTAAACACAAGGAGATGGTCACACAACTGAAGCTGACTGAGTTACCAGAATTTAAGCAGTTCTCACTTGTTGTCTGAACCATAGCCACTTATTTGTCCTCCAACTGTCTGTCAGTCTTGGTGGAATCAGCTGGTTTAAGCCTTTTACTTAACGGTTTAAGTCTTTTAATTTTTAGCTGGGCCAACTAAAAACACTCACTTGCTCAGTTATCACAGTTCAGCTAATGGGCAGGGAATGTGCAAGCCCAGGTGGCTCTGTTGCTTTTGATGGTCTGACTATACATTGTGAACTCTCTGCACTGTCCGCCATCTGTCTTCTCAGCCTCCTCGTGGGACCTGTTGGTCTTAGGGAAAAAGCGGGCTGATGCCTCCTCGTCCTGCTCACTCTCTGGTACCATCTTCTGTACCAGTGTCCGAGCATGAAAATCCTTGTTGGAGATCAGTCTAGGTTCATCCTTTCAGAGCTCAGGTTGCAGCTGCCGATTAGAGCCTTCACGCCATGTTCACTTGTCTCCATTTGTGCAGGATTTATGACAGCCGATGCTGACATGCTTAAGATCCCAAGTGATACTTTCATATTCTGTATTCAGTGCCTCTGAATACAGAATACGATAATACTAGCTTAGTCAGGTATTCTAAGACAGATACTGCCCCTCTGTTGGGGCAGCATAAACAGGCAGCAGCGATAATGATGGAGGGAGAGGTAAGCCGTGCAGCTTCTCCCCTCTCAGGCAGTTCAAACCTTACTAGCTTTATGTAATCAATAATTAATTAATTTTGCGTGTACTGTGTGGGCTTGCTTACTGTATCCCTCAGTGAAAAAGTAAGCAGGAGACAAATCTTGTGAGAGAGTGGTAGAGAACAGAGGAGTTGAATTGGTGAAAGACAAAGGTTTCAGTGATGTGCCAAATAATACAGACCTACGTGGTCTGCAGAAATTCTGCTAACATGGTATTTCTTTTATCTTTAGTCTGGTCTGTAACTACAAAACCTAGAAGAAGCTGCAGGTGTATTTCTGGAAGATTTAGACCCACCTTAAAAGTAAACCTTCAGATCCTTGTGTGCATTGAGCATTATCATAGCGAAACAACTGGCTGTCTGATGGAGTTGTTTAAGATCCTGTTTGTTCTGGAGCAATTTCCAGTGTGTTGAGTTGACTTAGTCAGAGCCCACCCCATTCACAATAGTTGGTACTGAAATATTGACTTAAAGATAAGACATCAATATTCTCTCATCTGTCATTAGCGCTCTTCTTTCAAACCAGGATGCGGTATTAAAATTTACTAAAATGATTTTTTGAACTGTAAAAAAACCCCTGAACACCCCACAAAAAAGAAACACCACTCCCCCTCTCCCCCAACTCCAACAAAACGGACACAAAATAAACCTCTAAATATATTTTAATATGCCTTGGAGAGTTCCATAAGCTGTCATGCGTCATTAGCCTGAGGAAAACACAACATTTTTCTTTCAGGTCTGTGACCTACTAGTGTTTCTCAGACACATTTGTAGAGGCCAAAAGAATTGCTTCCTGACTGAGCACTAAATTTATAAGCCCTCAGCTTCTCTCGTATTTCCTTTCCTTTTGTAGGGATCAGCTGTAACCAACAGGAGCACTAAAAGATGCCTCGAAATCACAGCAGAAAATCCAGTTTCATACAGACTTGTAATGCGGACCTGCACAGGACAAAGGTGGAATATCCAACACACGGTTAAGGACTGGGGAAAGACAAAAGACCTGGAACAGAAGACACAGTACTCAAAGCATTGACTAGAGGACATTTTTCCTTGAAAATTGCTATGTTCATAACACAGCAGTGGAAGCAATGATTTCAAGAGTTTGTTTACATGGGATTTTATGATGTATTAGTTATCGCAGGAGCTATGAGCTATTCCCACAAAGGTGCAAGTTCATCTCATCGCATTCTTGGGGCATCACCCCCCTGAGTTTCCTCAGTTAGGAGGGGGATTGTCTTTGCTCTCTTTTGTTACCACCGGAGAGAAGCAGTTACATCTAAGAGTGTTTCAACGCACCTGAGTTCCTTATGTTGTCCTTTAGAAGTGCCTATCTGCTCATTAATGAAAGACCTATGTAAGGTCTCTAATTTTCTAACTTTGGCATTTTGGTTAGATATGAAAATTCAGAAGAAACGGAACTGGGTCTGACTTTCTCTTGTACACAGAGTTTATCTCAGGCTGAATTGGACCATTTTTCTTGTCTTATGTCATATAGATAATGCAAAACTTCTTGTCAAGATGTGCTTATGCTAGTGGGTGAAATGAAATACACCCTTGTTCTTCTGTCCCTATAAATTACCTAGACATAATTCAGTTTCTCAGTGAAGTTTATTAGATTCAGCAGTGTGCCACACTAAGGCTGTTTTATGTTTACCTACGTGACATTGGTTTGTGCCAGCCAGCTGACAGCATGGATAAGGTCCCCTTGGAAAAAAGGGGATTCAGCTCAGTGGTTTTCACAGACTAATACAAGGCCAATGCAATAGCACGTCTGTCGGAGAAACTGAGTAAAATATGGCATGAGTTGCTAATGGGAGGCAACTCCCCGGTAGAATCATGGAATCATAGAATCATTAAGGTTGGAAGAGACCTCCAAGATCATCGAGTCCAACCGTCAACCCAACACCACCATGCCCACTAAACCATGTCCCTAAGCGCCTCATCTACACGTCTTTTAAATTCTTCCAGGGATGGTGACTCACCCCCTTCCCGTTCTCTTCCTTTGCTAGTCTATTTTATTTTTTTAAATCTTTTTGAAATTAACTTCTTTAAAAACCAAAACCATAAGACTCGTACCGTCAAATGACCTTACCTTGCGTACTCAGCTCACATTCTGTGTATCGTATCCAGCTATCTCTGTCGGTTTCTAAACTGAAACTTCAGCAGTACCAAATAGTTTCAGATGCTAACAATATCTAGCAATTTGCATTTCTGATAGGCTACTTTACACAGGAAATTTTGCAAGTGAGGTGAAGGTATGAAATGAGAGCGAACGTGCTGAAAGGCAAAGCTGAGCCACTGCTGAACAACAAACATCTTCCCCTGTGGGTCACAGTAACTGCCCACTGACGGCAGGATCCCACGTTACAAAATAACATGAGAATTTTCACTGAATGAAGTAGCTTCCACAGGGAGCATTTATTTTTATGTTATTACCCAAGATCTGAGGTACGCTCTCAGATACCTTCTTGCAAACACAAGTTCACATACCTACACTAAACACCCAAGAATTATCCTGACCATAGCATGGTTCCCTCCGATGCAGTGTAACATGCTAAAGCACACGCGCTTTGCCAGCGTACCAGGCTCTGAACGCTGCGCTGATTTCCATAGGATCAGTGTCTCCCAGCTTGTGATTCTGCACATCCCTGTGATGTTATTTTCATAGGCTCTGACGATTAACTGGTATTAACACAGTCAATTTACAGGCCAACAATAAAACACTAATTGTGGTAGCTCCTTCCTCGAAGGACACTTCTATTCGGATGATTTTGCAAGTAAAGCCTCCCATGCATGGGGCCTCGTGCTGCACTGTTATACTTCAAGCATTGGTTTTTGGTTTGGTTTTTTGGGTTTTGGGCAGGGGGGGAGGGTTGGACACAGGCTCTTCTTATCCTGTTCAACTCTCAGACTCTCAAGTTGATATCTAGGTCTCCCAGAATTCTCTACAGTAGAATCATAGAATCATTAAAGGTTGGAAGAGACCTCCAAGATCATCGAGTCCAACTGTCAACCCAACAACACCATGCCCACTAAACCATGTCCCTAAGCGCCTCATCTACCCGTCTTTTAAATACTTCCAGGGATGGTGACTCAACCACTTCCCTGGGCAGCCTGTTCCAATGTTTAACTACTCTTTCAGTAAAGAAATTTTTCCTTACATCCAATCTAAACCTCCCCTGGCGCAACTTGAGGCCATTTCCTCTCGTCCTTTCGCCAGTTACTTGGGAGAAGAGACCGACACCCACCTTGCTACAACCTCCTTTTAGGTAGTTGTAGAGAGCAATGAGGTCTCCCCTCAGCCTCCTTTTCTCCAGGCTAAACAACCCCAGCTCCCTCAGCCGCTCCTCATAAGACTTGTTCTCCAGACCCCTCACCAGCCTCGTTGCCCTTCTCTGGACACGTTCCAACATCTCAACATCCTTCTTGTAGTGAGGGGCCCAAAATTGAACACAGTGTTCGAGGTGCGGCCTCACCAGTGCCGAGTACAGGGGCACGATCACTTCCCTACTCCTGCTGGCCACACTAGTTCTGATACAGGCCAGGATGCCATTGGCCTTCTTGGCCGCCTGGGCACACTGCCGGCTCATGTTCAGCCGGCTGTCAACCAGCACCCCCAGGTCCTTTTCTGACAGGCAGCTTTCCAGCCACTCTTCCCCAAGCCTGTAACGCTGCATGGGGTAGACACGATATGAGTTCTTGTAGAAATAGGGTTAGGTGGAACTGGCTGTCCTACTTCTTAGAGTAATCACTCCCAAGACTTATGCTTATTTGTTAAAGGGGACTCCTATAAAATAAACTCATTGACACTATATAGAGTTTCAGCCCGAGGTCATTTTGTCATCAAAAGGGTGCCAAGCATTTTATCTGAATATAAAGTGTATTCAGGGTTCGCTTGAATATTTGTTTGAATATAATCCAATATGATTTGGTTTTTTCCTTTCTAATTTCTCTGTAAACTTGATGTGAACAATCTGGCCCTGATAATCAGGATTGGAATTGGACAAGCTCTTCTTATAGGAGAGTCTTTGGTCCTTAGGGTCTGTATTTTTCTGTTCTGAAAACCGATTCTTAAAAATGCCACATTTAAGCCAGATTGATTTTAAACTACTAAAATCAACTTTTATTCCCATGTCCTGGGTCAAAGCCAAAAACACCAAAGAAAGAGGAATATGTGCTCTGGTGGTTTTCTGCATCTTCAACAATGTGTCTTACCAAAGTCAAAACATTAGTATTTTGGCAAGCACAATGAAGACAGTGGGAATTTTGCCAGTACAACTAGAATTATAATCTGGCCTACTGGTGATGATGAATAAAAAGTGCTCACGTAATCATTTTTCCATCTTAATATGCCACTTCAATGCAATCAAAATGTAGTGGACATCTGGACAATTTTGTTTTGAACTTAGAGTTTGGGAAAACATCAAAATGTTCCAGAAAGTCTAGAGTTTCTGGTTCTTAATGTATGGCCTCTGGTTATACACAGGAGTCAACACTGAAACAAAATGCTTCAAATATTTTGATTTATCTCAAGTATAAGTTGTTTTAATTTCCTGAAGTCTCTCCACAAATGTTGCTTTTTGGCTAATTTTGTGATGAGGAAAGATAGTAGCTGTAAGAGAAGAACTCAATTTTCAGACTAGCACTTTCTGGTGATGCTTGATGAAACATAAATAACAACTCAATGTTTTTGGTGCTACAGTAGTAATACATTGCTCTCACTAGTGATGCTTTTGAACTTGGAAATTCACTGCATGATGAAGCAACTGATGCATGATTCCTCAGCAAGTCTGCAGTAGAGGTAGGACTCTACTGACATGGTGTATGACAAGAAGGCAGCTATGACTACGGCACAGCATAAAGAGTGGGATCCCTTCTTGACCTGAAAACCAGTTTTTAGCCGAACTTTCAGAAATGCAGAAAGTCACCTCAGCTCCTGCAAAATGACACAAGAGTACTGCAGCACCATGTGCTGAAAACAGGTAATAAATAATAACAAAATAGGTGGGAGTTTTTAATGGGTGTGCAGCTGCAAAGGAATGGGACAGCTTAATACAGAGCAAATATAAACAAAATGACCAGGGCACGTATACTGTGAAGGTAAGCCCTACTGGCTGCTGCAGAACAGTAAAGCTTTCCTCCTTGGTTTTGTGCTCAAGCAAGCTTGGCTTTACTGCACGTGCAACAGGAATCCACCTTGGGAGGAAGAATTAGAAGAGGGAAAAAGTTTTTTTTTCTTTAATGTCTGGTGGAATGGGGAGAAGGGCCAGTCTGGAGACAGGAACTATTTAAGGGACTACTAATTGTCAGTCTCTTTAAGGGGAAACTAAATCAGAGAACAGACAGAATCATTTAGTCTGTCACCGGGGGATTTGTTTACTTCTGACCAAACCATGTGTGGTGGGTAATAAAAAACCCCATTGCTTTCATTCACATTTTTTTTCACCTGACTTTTCCCATCTAAATTTACTTCCTCCTTTTCCCCCCTCGTTGTGAAATTAGCCCTTTTGAAGCATTAATTATATGTGTTATCAGTGGGGTATAGCCCTCTGCCTGCATTGAGAGCAATCCAGTCAGGATCAGTGGGCAACCTTTAACCAAATTATTATTTAAATTTTATCTGTCTTAGTTCAAAATCAAGAGTAGATTATTAGGTACGGAAAAGTTTTGCAGAAAAATCATAATTTTAAGAAAGTTAGATGATTTACTACTGGTTTCACCTGTTTGCAACTATGCATGTCCCTGTCACAGCATGATTTTTCCATTCCTACACAAGACACAAGTAGCTCACTTTGTTCTCTGGTTTGATTTGATATTCCTGGGCTTTATTCACCCTATTTAAGCTGCTATACACCTGTTTTCCTGCATGCATCTTCCAGCACAGTGTGTTTTTAATTTTTCTTTTCTGCTACGTAACCTATGAATGCATGTTTTTTGAAATCTTCACCAGACTGGGAGCCTGAGTTTTCCCTTCTGCTGAGAGATCTGAGTGAGGTGAGGACATCCACCAGATTGGCAACTAATTGCCAGTAC